CGAAGGGAGGAGGATAGTCCGAAGCGATTCACCAATCAAGCTTCCCATGTTTCATCAACGAAATAAGGTCACTTCACTTCAGTCTCCGACTCCTTCTGCGTTCTCCCTCGGCTCCCGAGCCATTAGATGCATATGCGCTGCCCAACTAGAAAGATAATCCGATATCGTGTAGTGGCTAACATTATCGCATCTCACATGAATGATTTACTGAAACGTTTAGAACGCGATAGCCCGAGGTTCAATTCTCTGTGCCGGAATCAACCTTTTTGCTTTTTCGCTTTAGTTAATGAAGGATGGGGGTCCACACTGTTTTACTTGAGGAATTCTAGAGAAATATACATAGAATGGAATGAAAAATATGCTTATTTTGACAACTAAAGCTAAGTTCCTTCCTCTAATATTCTATCTCCACCTGGTCTTCCGTACCGATCACATAGGTTACCCACCCACAGCTAAGAAAAGATACAGCCCGACATGATGGAGTGAAAAACATTATCACCTTCCATTGATTCCTGCGTCGAAGTATTGGAGCGCGATATCCCGGGGTTCAATTCCCATATCAGAATTTTTGGCTTTTTGTTCCGGTTTTGGGAACAATGCTAGAGCGGGGATTTCTGACCATGGACACGCGCCAAGGTAAGAGTGGTTATGAAGCACGAAAATATAGCAGAATGATTAACGATATGTATACTTAAAGCAACGATATATTAATCGTGTCGGAAGATATTGGAATTGTGGGGTTTATAATTTATCGAGGTCTGAGCCCTGAGGGGATGAAACACATGAGGCCAAAACTTCAAGTTCCTTTCTTAAGTCGACTCACCGTTCATCTCCACAGCCTCATAAATCCCTTCCACTTCCTTCCCTTTTTACATTTTCTATCTCTACTACCTCGAAGTCCTCCCATGAACGCATTGGTACCCGATATCACTGTTAGTAATACGTCTGTCATGATGAACTTTGAATGTCGACTAAAAGTGCACCCTACTAGGCGGAATATATTTTCAAAAGGTAATAATCCCTTTGAGGTCATGGATTTGGAGCGAAAGACCTACACAACTACTTCTTTGTTTGCCAGCGAAAAACGTACCAAGACAACGTGGTCTGGGGTCCTGCCAACCTGGGCCGATCAGGATAAGTAACCTTCTACCTGCCTTTAAAGTTATCTCAAGGTTGGGGGTTCGACCCCCCCGTGAGGCTACTGCGTTCCATATTTTGTTCGTGTCGCATTTTTTCCTTTCTCATGTGGGACGGAGTCCCCATTTTCTTTTCGCAAGGCCAGAAGGTTCTGTGTTTTTGTAGCGTAAGCAGGTGTGGGATTTCTGTAGTAGAAGGTAGGCAGTCAAATATAAAGGGTACCTGTTTTGATAATCGAAAACATACCGCCATTACCATTCTGAGCCTTCCCTGGTCCCAAGCTGTTTTCCCTTAAATCCCAAGGTGTAATAATTGAAGAGATCATGCCAGTCTAATGATCCATAATGTCGGTTGAGAGATCAGAATGTGGATGAACCTCAAAAGAGGAAGATACTGGATGATTTACAGTAAGAGTACCAGACTGAGGAAACGGGAAATTGCCTGAGTGACTTAATCTGAACGATTTCCCAGCTATAAAATCATCGACATCGGCACTCACATGGGAAAATACCACTCCAGCTCTCCAGCCATCATCTTCCCCACTAAACATTCCGCCAACAGCAAAGAAAAGAAGTGTCCAGAAAGAAAGAAAAAATGAATTTTCCGACACGGGGAATTGAACCCCGGGCTATCGCGTTCTGAACAGTGCCTTTAAGCACTCTTATGAAAGGCGATAATGTTAGCCACTACACCATATCGGATGGGAGAATGTATCCGCCTCATGGACTCAGGGGAGTGGGAGGAATAGGGAGAGGGAAAAGAGGCATCTTAGAGATGGAATAAAAATGAATTAGTACTGACCAATGTCACCTTTTGAATTTTCCTGAGCCATTTACAGCATCATTTCGACAGCTTCAACAGGATAATTATTATGTCTTTAGGTTATTAGTACAAGACCGAGTAATTCTTCACGTCTCTCTGTGTAGCATTACTTTTTACCGCGTGTCAGTCAATAATCATTCTTATTTCGTACCTACTTACTTTTAATAGTATTCACGCCTTCTCCTCCGAGTCCATCCTGGAAGACCCCCCTACAAAATACATTCCCCAAAGGAAAACTCCCCAAAACCCAAGCAAAAAGCTAGATATTTCGATACGGGGAATCGAACCCCGGGCTATCGCGCTCCAATGAATTCTTGTAGGAATCGTATGGAAGGCGATAGTGTTAGCCACTACACCGTGTCGGGTTGTATATTGGCATGGGCGATGGGCATGTGGCGGGGAGGTCACGGTGGTCGGAGCTTGAGAGTCAGGACTGAGGAAGTGAAACTGGCAGGAGGTAACGCGTAAACGTCCGAGCTTTTCAGGTTGGTGGCTGATCTTCCTCGTGATTCGTCGTCCGTAAGTTTTGAAAATACCAGGGGGTGTGTGATAGTGGGATGGAAGGATGGGAAGTGTCGGTAGTATACTGCGCCGGGACTTTCAATGCAACTTGAACTTGCTGGGATATTTATAACGCACGATGACCATGGTGGTTTTCATCCAAATGCAACAGTAAATCGCGATTCGCTGGATGCATATGATAGCTAAAGGAGAAGAATGCGTACCTAGCGAGTTGGGAAGATCCGCAAGCACAACAACAAAATCTCCAACAACTCCGTCATAGGTCCGAACCTCACAGCACTTTCCCTCTCCGACGTCGGATACTCATCATGTTCCATTCGGTATGTCCTCGATCCAAGTGTCTGTGAGAAGAAGAAGACTAGGCAAATATGAGAAACACGATGCTGGCTGGAGGATATCGATGAAGTTGATCATGGAAGGGCCGTCGGACCGGGAGCGTGGTCCCCGGTCGCGGCGAAGTTGAATTGAAACTGAATTTCTTGGAAATTACCAACGAACACCACCTCTAAAATTATGTCAAGCTAATCGACATTCATAATTATAATTCCAATAAATAAAGACGTAAGAATCAGATGTGTATGCGTTGGACCTGCTCCTTCATACCACTCCACTCCAATCCGTACTTCCCTCCGCACATCAACCCCAGGCATCTACTATCTACATTCGCCCCAAGCTAGGCATCTCCTTGCTAGCCTAATCGATAGAGCGTGAGACTTTTAATAATAAGCGTATCTCAAGGTTGGGAGTTCGACTCTCCCATGAGGCTAGAGAACTTTTTTCTTTTTCTTGATGACTTTTCTTCTCGAGGTCCTTTTCTCCATTTTTTTTTGCTTAGGTTTTTTTTACAACCGAAAGCAATAATGCGGTTGAAAATTCTAACTCTCATTATTAAAGCTAAAATACCTGCTATCAACGAAAGAAAAGAGACATACCGCCCATCCAAGTCATCCACCTTGCTAGCTCAATCGATAGAGCGTGAGACTCTTACCAATATATAAAGGTATCCCAAGTCGGGGGTTAGGAGGCTAGACTCCATTTCTTTTTTTCTTCTCTTTGTTTTGAGATCCGGTGCGTCGTAGAATTTTCTGCAAGAGGCTGAATCTGATGCCGCTCGGCCCGAAAAGGGACGGGTAAATAGATGTGGCGTCGTCCATAGGTGTCCATGGGCTATACTGTTCTCGATCCTCGATCCGTTCGTGTGATATACAGGGTGGAAGGTTCTTTGTTGTTCCAGGCCATAGATGTTATAATGAAGACATGGACTATACTGTTCTCGATCCTCGATCCGTTCGTGTGATATGCAGGGTGGAAGGTTCTTTGTTGCTCTAGGCCATAGATGTTATAATGAAGAAGAAATTAAGCAATGTTCATATTCATTGAGTACATAATTATATGGCCAACCCAAGGTGACGAAACGACGAAAGAAAAAACCATGCAAAGCAGAACGAAAGGATGCTATGTAGAGAGAGAGAAGATGAATGAAATACTATACAATTATTTAAATATCCGACAATGATAGACGGTTTAACAGAGAGAATTACACGCGTATGAAGATGGCTAGGTGCATCTACTTGGTTGTATGAAGTATGCCAGTGAATGCCATCGCATCTACTTGAGAAATACGACTACCAGCATCTCCTCGAGGATGCCATGCTACAACGGTGGTGCAGCCTATGCGCATCCCAAACGTCCTTACGAAACGAAAAATCCAATGATATGAAAGACCCGCCTCGACGCCCTACCAACCCGACCTGACCCGACGTGCGAATACACGAACCCAGAGAAATCTCCTCACCCATCCTGCTTCCTGCTAAACAATACTATGAAAGGTATGCGGCATCGTCACCTGCATGGCCCTTTGTGGTGGTAAAACAGCCAACGACTCCTGCATCTGCCCCATCTGCGGGCCCGACCCGGTGGTCATCCCCATCGCGGCCATGCCACCCTGGTAGCTCGGCGGCAAGGGCAGCGACTCGGGCTTGACATCGCTGTTGAGGGGCTCGGAGTCGATGGTGACCCATTTGATGCCGGGCTCCTTTTTGCGGAGGCGAATCTCGACGCGCGTGGGGAAGACCTGCACCGTGGACTTTGAGGGGAGTATTTCGTGCCGGAGGCGTTCGAAGCCGAAGGAGCGCAGCACGCCGTCGGGGGTGCGGAATGTTATTGTGAACTGGGGTGGATGGTTAGGATTGGGGGCTCTGGGCAGGAGGAGCACTGGGAACGTACCGCATCGGGCTGGACGTCGCAGGTGAGGTCGTTTCCCCGGACACGCTTGACGAGAAGGTCGACGACGACTTCGATCTGCGACTGGTACCAGACGTGACGGATTGGGAATATCGACGACGGTAGCGGGTTGGCGTTCAGCTGGAGGGTCATAGTCATCGCAGGGCGATCCATGGGGAGATTGGGGGCGTTAGGGACGGAAGAGTTGGAGACTCGATAGATAGAGAGGGAGGAGGAGGAGGAAGGAAAAGATGGCGGATGGAGGACGGACGTCGATGGCAGGGACGTGTCCACGGTGATGGTCTCGACTGCAGCTTTGTGATCTAGGCCGAGGCCTTAATCGTGGTGGCGGAGTTCGAATCCTCCGGTCTCGACTCTCCGGCCCTACTACCCTTCATTAATTCTACGTCACATCACTTCCTCTGACGACAGCCACTCCTACCCACTGGCTTTTCTCTGTCGCGATAAGCAGAATATCAGCACCCCAAGCGTCGTAAACACCACTATCGAGGTGGGTCCAGACCACCTGCATTCCCACAGAGGTCATTGCCGTCCCTGGCGCATCTTATTGGCTCGTCCGTGCGGGGAGGGCTCCACAGACTGATATTCAGTCCCTTAAAGTCGAGAGCAATCACACCATCTATTAATTATTTACAGGTATATACTCCCTTCACGTGTGAAGATCAACCATAGCGGGACCGGGTTATAAGCGAACTGCGTTTTAGTCGCTGACATTCGGCGATCCTTAGGCCGTCCCGAGAATTGAAGGTGTATATTCATTATTCTTTGATGTCGTAGAATGTAAGTCAAAGCGCACTTGCTCATAATTCAAGGCATTCAAAGGTGTACCTACCTATTAATATTCAGGGTTCGCAAGGTCAGCATGTCAGATGGATTCATTTCCCCATTGTAAGTTAATAGTTAATTTGAAAAGCAATCCGATGCCATTGACCAACAAAAGGAATTCTCGGCGCTGATGGATACAAAGAAACAACTCGGGCTTCCAACACAGAATAAAAACAACGACGCCGCGTCGGGATCGTAATACGAGTTTTACGTCCTGGCGCAGGATGAAAAAGCCGCTCTTCGGGCTGGAATACTTATAGCTATGGGCGACATGAACGTATATTGTAACTGCCCATCATGAGTCGTGTTCTTCCCTCGGTCATAATAATAACTGCGAGTACTGCGCACCCTAAACATCATACGTTGACTCACTGGTGTAGCCGCTCGGCAAAATAATAATAACAACAATACACTGCACACGAACTCGAGTTCAGGTAAGTACGAATTCTAATCGGGAAGGCAAAGTGTGATTTACTTACCACTGTCAGGAGCCCGGTCATGATTCTCAGGACGAAGAGCGATAGGGATTTTAACGTCCTCCATCATGACCCCAGAACGAAGAGCGATGGGTAGGGGCGTTACTTTTCCATTATCATGATCTCCAGATTCTTTTCCTAAGCGGGTGTAAAGTCGCTTGCGCTCTCCATTATTACCGGCCTCGGGGCTAGTCTGCTCTTCATCGTAAGATATCATCTGACATGGTGTAGTGGCTAACATTATCGCCTTTCATAGAAATTGGAGCGCGATAGCCCGGGGTTCGATTCCCCGTATTGGAATATTTGGATTTATTTTGTACTTTTTGGATGCTTTTTTTCGGAATTTGCTTTGGCGGGAGCTTTGATTCGGACACAAGGAGGGTAGAAATTGGCTGTAGGATGTCCAGTGAGAAGTATTTGAGGTACGAGTGATTATTTTTACAGACATGGTGTAATTAATTATATGGCGGAAAGCATATCGAAAGACCGAAATGACAGTCTCACTGGCAAGCGACGTATCACACGGAATGATGGGCGAACCGCGAGATTCTAAAGTCAGTTTCGAGGTAATTAATATGGTTTTAAATCACCTTTAATTCTCATCCTGCCTATTTCCTTCCCTTCCCTTCGCGCTTTTATCTAATATTTTTTGGGGGGTTTCTACCGAGAGCTTTGACACAGCATGAAATCGGCTGTGTTGGGGAGGTCGGCTGTAAGTAGGGAAGAATTGAGGTACGAGTGATTATTTTTTACAGAAAAAAAGCTAATTAACAGGTAACGGAAATCTTATCCAGGGGCTGAATGAAAATGTGTACTTTGTCTCATGCTATCGGTATAAAACGAACTCCCGGGCGAACCGAACATGGCTTTGAGGTATGTTCTTAAATCACCCCTTTCGTCCTTCCCTTTGCTTCTTCCCCTTTCCCTCCCCCTATAGGTGAGACGTCCCCCATCAAAATATATAATCCGATATGGTGTAGTGGCTAACATTATCGCCTCTCATGTGATTGCTTAACGGTACCGTTTAGAACGCGATAGCCCGGGGTTCAATTCCCCGTGTCGGAATATCTCTTTTTCTTCTTATTTCTTGGCCGTCGCCTTCCTTCGCCTCTTTTCGTTGTTGATTCGAGGGATAGGATGGGCTTAATGCGCTCCGATTATTTTCGATAACTTGCATAATCTGACTTTCTAATTCGTTTTCCAGATCCAGAGTGTTTTGTCTTTATTATTTGAGTCACAAGTCCTTCACTCCCCGTTTAATTTTAATTTATTCCTAAAGTTGATTCTGGTTTCTATCCATCCGTCCCGCGGGCATTTGAGTTTATGATGTATCGTACCGACCCGTCCTCTCGTTTGACTCGTAAGTTGTCAATATTTTATTTTCTTGATTTTCATTATTCAGGCTTGACGGTCTACGGTAAAGGATGCTGGAACGGAATTAAAAGTACGCGTCAAGCAGAATCAATTCTGAACTCTACCAACGACTCCAGCAACTGGATCAACTAAATATCTTACCTACTTAATAATCGAGGCGAGCTGTTAGATATTTTTCTTCTCCGTCCAGAATCCCTGGATTTGGCTCGTAGATTGAGGGCAAGTATAGAGGATACGCAGGTCCGTAAGTACAGCCCGCTGTTGCCACTAGAAATTAATTTTAATATCTTCCACCTGCAAAGAGGATATGGTATCGAGAACCGGATGACGCTGGTTTCTAGAATGGATTACGATGGTATGCAGTGCAAAGGAAAAGGAAAATTCTCTGACAGGAAACGGAGAAAAAGAAAAAGACACAGTCTAGCCTCACGGGGGGGTCGAACCCCCAACCTTGAGATACCCTGAATAAGAGTCTCACGCTCTACCGATTGAGCTAGCAAGGCGAGTTGGGCAAAATATGTCATGTCTCGTTCCGTCCTGATGTTCTCTGTTTACTTATCAAGTTTTCGAACATCCTTTTAGAGTATGATTAAGTATACGCCCTTGTTTGGAACGCGATAGCCCGGGGAGTAATTCCCTGTGTCGGAAGAGTCTTTTTATTTCTTTTCTTTAGACTTTTTTAATGGACGCGGGGATGGGGCGTGGGGCGGCTTAAGACACGTCGTGTGAGGGCGTACATGTTATTATTTCCAGTATGACCCGCGATATCTGTACGTGTCCGCAGTATAGTCCTTAATAACGAATCTCTGACACCATAGTGAGCAGCGCTTTTGTCATACCTGTGATGGATGAATATCCTGGAAGTCACCGCATCAGTAAACTGGGTGCAGTGTTCCCGCGTGTCCGAGCCGATCCAGCGCTGTCCAGGGCGTCTGAAACGCCCCAAATGAATAGACAGTGTTCCCGGATCACTCAGGATCGGCCGGGACATCAAACTGAGTTTACTGATGGACAACCGTATGGATCAGCCAGATTTGTGAGGACCGTCTACAGGAATGATGAAGAGTACACGAAAAAATTAAAACGAAGTGAACATACGTTGATTTGCTTAGAGGTGAAAGGGTGCAGAACGCATGGAAACGCGTGGAAGGGACAGCACGCGCTCGAACAATGGTGGCTTAGTCAGCGAACGGTAAAAGCTTCCGCACCGCCTTCGTTCAGCATAATATCAGACAATATCCAGCAATGTCGCAGCCGTAAATCCACCTGGCAACGGTTGTCACTGAAATCAATTATTTCTAAATAATACACTGAATCAGAAATAGTCGAGCAGTTGTGATAATTTTTATTCATTTTTATTTATTGTAGAACTAAGTACATCAAAGAACTTATTTGAAAATTGAGATAATCTCTCAACAGATATGAACATACCTATCAAAGCCAAACCGGTCGAGTTCCGAATTCTGACAACGTTTTGAATATTGTGAGCTTCCAATCGTTTGCTTGTGGTTTCAATCGGTCTCATCTCAAGCTGCAATCGAGCACTGTCCGCCCATTTCAAATCCTTCGTTTAGAGGCAGCATGGTAGGGGATATGTGTATGAATCCATAATGCATTCGAATGAATGTAAATAAACAATTGAGTGATACATGACGTGAATATGCTAGCTAGGTAACACGATAATGAGGAGAGGGAGTGTGGTAGAGGGAGAAATAGAAGTAAAAAGCATAATATCTTGCTCATTCTACCGCCTACGAATCCGTTTGGGGGCAGAAGGTGAACTGTCCGTGTCTGATGCAGGAACCCTGGATACTCTACGGTTTGGCGAGGGGATAGCCACTGGACTGGCCGTCAAGTCTTCAGCTATGCGTTTCTCTGTGATGGCCTTCTTGGCTTCTTCATAATAAGATATCCGACGATTTTCTTCCACTTCCATCTGTGCATGCGGACGCGTGAGAGCCGGATCTGCCATAGCCTCCTTCAACATTGTTAGCACATGATGATGGATGTTTAACCGCTCGTATCCCGTTGAAAATTCATATCCGGAATATAAAATCTTCCACCATTTAAGGATGATGCCTTTTAACGGTTCGAAATACGAGTGAAAATTGGCCAAGAGATTATTCTCAACCGTCCTTAAAGCTTTTTCGTACCCTACGGAAAAGACTGCGGCTTTTGAAGCGCTTAGTGTCCCAGGTGGACCATCAAAATAATTGTAGATCTGTTGCGAGATAATTAAATCCTCGTCAGTCTCAGGGGGTTTTGTGATCAATCGTCGAAGCCCTCCGGGTCCGGCTCGTGTCATGGCGAGATGAACAAGGATCCACCAGAAAGATTCAATGTCGTGAATAGCTTCATGAGGATCCGGTTGTGGTTTAATAATGGCATGGCTCATAAAAGGATATGTTCCCTAAATATATTATAGTGTCAGGCCAGAAAAGAAAAGAAAGAAAAGCTCACTAACCGTTCTCAGTCCATCGCCTGCTTTATGGTTGCTGAATTTCGGGCGCATGGCAGTCTGGAAAAAATAATTCTAGTGAATATCGATGGTGCTTTGCTTATAGTAAACTCACAATGGGAACCCAATGGAAATCGTCCGGAGTAAGTGGCTTATCGGGGCTCATCGTTAGCGAGAATCTATCGGTCAACGCCTCGATATAGTGAATCTTCTTGGTACCGGAGCCAACGGCCTTAGTGGCCATCTCCAATGTGGCGGCCGTAATATAATTTCCTTCTGATGCATAGAACTGTATTGCCTGATCGATATTTGGGACCGAAGATGTCATCTGCGCCGAACTTCCTACTGTGTCCTTAACTTCATGGTTTGCAACTTGAACTTCGGGCCTTGCGTGGTCCAAGTCTATGAGATGGCCATATTCACGAAGACTTGAATCCAAAGCGCGATGCTCTCTTGACATCAAAATTATCACATTGCCACCGCTAAGATCGCGATGTAATATACCGGCTTTGAGATATCTTTCGTGATCTAAGGATGACGGAGGAATCAACAAAAGAAAGCTCTAAAGTGATTGAGGCATACCTTCAACTGCGTCATAAATTACGCAGATTAATTCTAGTAAATGTTTAAAATATTTGAGGGGCCAACCACGCGTTTTCATAAGAAGGCGAGTTTGTGCTCGAGAGACTACACCAGACTTTCCAATGACTAGTTTCGAAAGTGATTCGACGTCCAAGCTTTCTTTGTAGGAGAAATGTTCAGCTGGTCGGGGCTTGTTCTCGCTTTGGTCACGATCGCGTTTACTGCCGAGATTTGACGTTGTCTGCTGCGACTGCACCTGCGCCATGGAGATCAATTCTCCAACGATGTTCTTACGGATGGTTCCGAGCGTTGTAACTGTCTTTCCGAGGAGGCTGGATACGTATTCTGCAGCGTAGATACGATCTTCATAGAGATCAGCCTTTCTATGTGCAAACGACTCGAAAGTTTCGCCTTTCTTCAACAAATCGTTGAGGTCTTTCCCTGGCAGGCGTTGCCAACTCTGCTTCAAAACGAATACCTCAGCCTATCGACTCCATTAGTAAGACGAGAAAAAGAAACATAAATAGAAACCTACATCATCCCGTCCTAAGTCACGGCTTCGGACGACTTCCCAAACAAGCGTTGCACGTCCGCACATAATTTCCGCGCCGATAAGACTCAAAGTTCTTATGGTAACAAACGGTTCTTCGGGCTTGGAACCCATCTGAATGACCCATTGAATACGATAGATCGACTCCTTGCCTTCAGGACTATTCTCCCAAGGGAACTTGTAAGAGTGTATGGCCCTGCCTCGATAATATCGTTGCATGGTAGGATCCCAGCCGAGATTCTCCGGTGGCAACATGGAGTACGCAGCAATAGCGCGGATTAACTTTTTTGGGTCCTGCGTGTCTTGACCGTTAATAAAACTACCAATATATTATATGTTAAGTAATGCATACCTTATTGATATCAATGGACGTCTTAGTACCAAAAACGCCACTGCGATCGAACAAGTAGACATTCAACTGGTCGAAACACAATGTGAGGCCGAGAGCAAAACGACGATCGACTTGTTCGCGTAAGATTTGTCTGACGTAGCCACAAAGCTGTCTAAGTGCCTCTTGAATATCTGCGGGATTATTTTTACATTCCACAGCGTTGATCATTTGTAGCCACCAGATCGACAAGTCCCGATCCTTTCGCAAGAGTCAGTCATCAAAGTGAAATTGCGAATGGTCAAACGTAGCATACCTCGTCTGCCGCTTTCTGATTATACATATTCGCCATTATGAAGACACACAAGAATAGGAAGCGCGCGTACCTGCTGCAAGTCAGCTTGTTTCGCTTGTCCTCGCGTGACACGATGACCGGAAAGCGTTTGATGAAGATTTTTCAGGACCTTGTTAAGGTCTTTAACGTGCGTTGGGTGAGAGACGAAAGCCATGTCAGGTCGGATGAGTGCGGCAAAGTCATCCCAAGATTTGGGCGATTTGGCGCTGCAGTTGACCCAACGCCCTCGTATCGAACCGGGACGCTTGCTCTCGTCGTATTTATCCACGATATCGTTGATAGCATTGGCAATGGCACAGAAGGCGGGGTAAAGATTCTGCTCGGGGGTAATTTTGTCAGGGAAGTCCCTCCATCGCTCCGAGGTTTTGTTGTAAACCTCATTTGCCTCGAGCTGTGCCATGATGTCGTTGATGACAGTATTGGCAATAGGATGGATGTTCTCGAGGAAAATATCCGTGTCCGCTACACTATATAGATTGGAAAGGTCCCTTTCGACATCCTTTCGAACATCGGAGGCGCGAGATGCCATGCCAGTGGTAGAGAGGAGGGTTTTGGCCGGTTTGTGAGGAGTGTCTGAAGGCATAGTGAGGTATGAATACACCAGAAAGTAGGATAGAGAAACATACTAGTGCGAGCTACTTATAAAGAGGAGAATTCAGGGTGGAGAACGTGTGGAAACGCGTGGAGGAGAAGCACGACGCGCTCGAACAATGGTAGCTTAGTCAGCCGCGAAAAAAGCTTCCGCACCGCCATCAATGATGGCCATCAACATTCAGTACAATATCAAAGGTCCCCATTACTTATATTTCTAATATATTCGTCATAGATCCAACGGTTATTATTCGGAGTAAAAATTCCGAGTAATATAATCAATATATTCTTCTTTTACCCTCCAAGTCCAGATAATGTTCCTTTCTTTATTTAAGGATAAGAGTATGCTTTTAGGGTGACTCCGCGAAGCACTCACTAGGCATAAAAAGTCGTGATTTTTCTCATAAAATGTTGACTGATGGTACTAATCTGACCACACGAGGAACAAAGACCAGGGACAACGACAGGCACTGGGACACTACCAGAACAATAGAAAGTACAAAGAACAGCGTCCAGAAAAAGATAATTCAGGGAGGGCGTGGGAGGGATATGTACAGCTGACGTTCGGATATTTTACTTGGTTATCAGGCATCATGATTTAGGGTGGAAACTACTTCGAAGGTTACTGTCGATTGTTCG